GAAAGCATGGCCAAGGACAATCAAATCTAGTCCTTCTTGTACAAACCCCAATTTTATGCTTGAATCAAATCCCATTTGCTTGCCTAGTCTTCCATAATCCAATCCAAAGGACACATCCTAGCCTTGCATGCCTAGTTTTTAGGTTATTTCTTGCAAGCAAACTTGATTTGCTTGAATTAAAAATTGGAGGAAAGAGAGAGAGAGAGTGGCCGGCCTAGGGAGAGAGAGAGGGAGAGCTTGCCTATAAATACCAAGCCATTTGGTGCTTTGAACTCACACCTCAAACCATTCTCCAACTTCTCTCCTTGAAAGCATAAGAGTTCTTAGTGTTCTTGAGTAGTTCTAGCTTGTTCTTGAGCTTTCTTTCCATCTCCGCCACTAAACCACCATACGACCACCACCTCGATCCTAAAGTAGTAGTAGTAGTATAGGTTACGATCTAGTTTCAAGAGAAACCTTTCTCTTTCGAAGCTATCGGAAGCTTATCATAAGCCGTTACTCCCTTCGTTTGCCGACTTTCTTTCCGTCGATCTTTTCGTAGTCTTCCTACCGCCAAGAAGAAAGGTAGATTTTCCCGATCTACTCTTCCTAAAATATAGATAAGATGTGTGTTGAGCTTTTCGAACTATTTTCGCTAAAGGAAATAAAGTTAGTTGTATGAATTAGCTTGTAGAACTTTCTTACTAAAAGTACGTAGTTTACTTTGATCTTGAGAATAATTGAATGCATGGTTTATAGAATCTTCCCAACTTGATTAACTCGTCAATAAACATATCTTGGTACGATTTCGTTTAAAAATAAAGTGTTGTTTTAAAACGAAGTATTCGTATTTTGACATTTTCAAGGATTGTGAACTTGATCGCATGACTGCTTACCTTACTTGTGGTTGTAAACAAGCATGATTAAATAGAGTTGGATGATCTTGCTAGTTTAGTTTCAAGATTTACTTTAAAGTGATTCGTCCCGCCGCGGAGTCTATGCATGATTACGAGACACGAGAACCGAAAAGTAGAAACATGACACTTAGGGAGTGGTTGATATGGATAAAAAGGATTTTTGAAACTACATAATGGCCGGACTTGGTAGCCTTATGTGAGTTGTGAAAACCCGCAAGGTGGCCGGACTTGGTAGCCCTTTGTGTGGACTTGCGAAAACCGCAATGAGGCCGGACTTGGTAGCCCATTGTGTAGATTGCTAACGGAGCCGGACGTGGTAGCTTCATTGGTAATTGGGCTTGGTTATCCGCGGAGAGGAGCCAATGCAAGATTTGATAACGTGGCCGGACTTGGTAGCCCGTTGGTAACAAAGAATGAGAAATGATTTTCGAAATGAAATGGTGACACAGTTTACGATGAGTCGCGTAGGAGAAACAAAGAAAGGCATGACACCAACGTAGGCAAGATAATGAATGCGGGTGTGTCATTGTTAATTATGTTGTTGAATGAGCATGTGTAAATTGACTATGTACCTTCGTGTTATAAGTTATGGGTTAGCGGGTTGGATTATTCTATTGAGCTTCTGTAGCTCACGGTGTTACCTTTTTGGTGACCCTGACATATTATACTGGGGGCAACGCTGGTATAATGTGTCAGATTTTATAGATGAGCAGCAGGAACAGTACACCTTGGAGGCCTTCGGAGCCGAGGAGCTTGCAAGGATGGAGGAAGAGGCGGAGCATTAGTTAACCTTAGATTATCCCCTCTTTTGTTGAATAAAAGTACTCTTGTGAGACTTATGTTGTAATAATGAGTTAGACTCTCCTTAATTTATTCAATAAAAATGTTTATTTAACGTACCCAAAATTCGGGGCATTACAGGTACTAACAAAATGAGATGGATCTTGCTTGTTGGCCCATGTGTAGAAACAACCAGAATACCTAAGATCCTCAAGCTCCAAATCATACAGACAATTATTAAACTCATCCATATGGGGGGGGCCAGGAAGTAAGGCCACCAACCTTCTCATTAGGGAACCTAATAGCATTAAAATCCCTAAGAACAATCCACGGAGAAGAGGAGCTAAAATGATGAAGACTAGACCAAAGTGCTTGTCTTTCCAGGTAGCTATTAGCTCCATACACAAAAGTTGCCCAAAATGGAGGCCCTCCACTCCTTGATTGCACCTCACAATGAATAAATTGATCAGATTGAGCAATAACCTGAAGATTGACTACAGTAGGATCCCAACACACCAAAATTCTCCCTATGGGAGCTTGGGGGTAATTGCTCACAAAATTCCATTGAGGGCAAACGTACTTTATTATTCTAGAAGCCAACGCTTCTTTTATTTTATGTTCTAGCAACCCAAAAAGTGAGATATTATTATGATTCACAAAACCTTTAGCCTCTTTTTGGTTGATTGGGTCATTAAGGCCCCGGATATTCCAAAATCCCATGTTAAGAGGTTGCAGAGACATAAAATGTATTAACGCTGAACAGGAAATGCAATGGCAGAAAATGGAAGTATAAGCAAACTGCCTTGCCAAACAAAGGATACGGATGCATCAAGTCCCTCCACTGCTCAAGGAGCATAGTGACTGTTCCTTAGCTAGCTTCCTCAACCTTTTCTGAGCAGACTTGGTGAGAGTTTTGTCGATAACCAAGCCGTCAGTAGGAACTTGCTCTGCAGCTCTCCTTTTGTCTCCTGGACCTAAGAGATCAGGAGTTTCAGGAGGCTTAATCCCAGCTTGGGGTTGGACTCCTTTTGCTTCCAATGTCTCTGACTCCTGATTGGTACTGACCACCCTTTCCAAAACCTCCAACAATTCATCTTCAGAATCACTAAGCTCATCACCAGGTGCTTGAATTACAGATGTATCAATTGAGGTGCTTGATGAGCGAGGTCCTGCTGCAACCACTGGACCCTTCCCCACAATACCCTTATCCCTAGAATCCTTAACAACAATTTCGAATACTACAATAGGCAAAGATTCAGAGGTTGTAATTGGCTGCAACTCATCCGAATTAGGAAGATCAGCTGCCACATTTGGAATGCCATTAGAGTCTTCAATTGCAGATTTTATGGAAGAGGATTCACCTGTTACCATAGCAGCAGAGTTGGCATCCCTTTTTCCCTTACCTTTACTAACCACTTGCCATATATCCTTTTGGCTTGAGACTTTAGTACCCAATTGCTTAGTACACGTACCTGTAGGATGCCCAATACCTTGCAATCTATACATATTGGAGGTAGCCATTGTTATTGTAAAGCTACTATAACTGCCTCCCCATTGATGGTAATTTGGACGTCATCCGGCAAATCGGTTCCAGCATCAATTTCCACACATATACGAGCATAATCCAGCCAAAGCTTTTTTGCTGTTGCTTGATCCACGTGAAGAGGTTTGCCAATTGTACTTGCTATCTTGCTAAAGCACTCTGCTGTCCAAAACTCTAATGGAAGTTTCAAAAGCTTGATCCACGTAGGGATTTTAGGAGGTTGGTCCTTGGTTGGAAGCAACATCCATTTCCAATTTTGCAACACAAGAAATCTTCTAGAAAAGAAATGGGGGCCATCCTCTAATGCTTTCAGCTTAGCAGCCTCATCCTTGAACTCAAATAAGAATCTCGAGCCAATTTCCTTAACTGATAAAAGATCATCCTTCCACACAGTCCAGGCTGTAGCCTTGAGTAAAGGTAATTCCATCTTGCCATCAGGAAATGCCCAATAAGGCACTGATTCCACTTGTCTTCATCTATGTCCGTTTCAACTAACTCCACCATGGCACGCTTACCTTGTTGAAGTTGAGGATAGGATAGTGTTCCAACTTCATCATTTTAGAAAGGCCTTGGGCTGTGAAGAGGGAAGCCCAGTTCTTTGAATTACCTTGGGGGCGAATAGGATTATGGAATCGATTGGTACGGGGTTCGATGGGGTTTGAAAGAATCCCAGCTTTCAAATCAGATTCTAGATTGATGAATTCCCCCTGACCAATTTTTGACCCAGAAGGAATTTTGAAATTGACATTAAGGGTTTGAGGATTACCACATGCATCAGAACTTGAAGATTGATACCTGGATATATCGTTATGCTCCTTGAGTCGATTCAATTGAGATTTCAACTCTGAGCAGTCGACAAGCACCCCTGAGCTCTTCATTTCGGCCTCCAAAGGCCTAACTAGACTGGATAGGCGGTCCTCTGAGTCCAGCCGTTCACCTGGTACCTGAAACCCCTCCTGTAATTTCCTAGTTGCAGAATTCTTGGCTGATCTTCCTGTGGATGGACCGGAGGATTCAGACTTTGTGTTCCTAGATGAAGAGGTGTTAACGGTTGTTGAAGATGTATGGACTCTCTACTTTGATAGGGCAGCCAACCAGAAAGGGTATGGGATCATAGTGTTACTAATTACACCTGATGGCTCTCATATTTCGCTTGTGTTCAAACTCATTTCGATGTAACAAATAACCAAGCTGAGTATGAGGCTTGCATGGTTGGCATGGAAGCTGCTCTAACCCTCGGCATTGAAAAGCTCGAGGTCATTGGCCATTCTAATCTGGTCGTATCTAAGGCCAACGGGGTCTGGAAAGTTCGTGAAGAAAAACTGAAGCCTTATCATCAAGACTTGGAAGATCTCATTCCTCGCTTTAACAAGGTAACCTTCACACACATTCCCCGCTTGAAAAATCAATTCGCCGATGCCATGGCAACTTTGGCTTCTATGGTTGAACTTCCTTTGGGTGTCAAGCTCCGCCTTATACTGATTGAACAGCAGGACTGTCCCGCTTACACTACCCCAAATATCACTTTTACCGCGGTAAAAAAACTGCCGTTAAAAGCTATTTTTACCGGCATTGGTAAAATCGTCGGGAATAACAACCTAAAACGGCAGTGTTTTTAAGAATGCCGTTTTTACAAACTTTTACCAGCGGTTTTTAAAGTACGGCCAAAAAAATTAGAATATATGGTTTTTTTTTATTACCTGCAGTTTATTACCGCCGCTTATAATAATACCGGCCCCTATAATATAAATATTATTATTTATCCTACATGATGCAATATGTGAGTTAGCCCAGTTGGTAGCACGAGTGCTATAGGATCGGGAAGTTCCGGGTTCGATTCCCGGGAGAACAAAAAAAATTAACCACGGATTTTATTGCCGGCGGTTTTTTTACCGTCATTTTTAGTATTGCCGGCAGTTTTCTAATGCTGCTTTTGTTTTTCTGACAATTGTTTTCCCAACAGTTTATTTCCGGCGGTTTTTGAACTTTTACCAGCGGTTTTGAGTATTACCGGCGGTTTTGGGACTATTAACAGTAGTTTTCTCATGCCGCTAATGCTAAAATTTGGCGTAGTGTTATCAGTATGTCAATGCCGTCAATGATGTCGATGATGGCCTACCCTGGTATCATGATATATGGAATATCGTAGAAAGAGGCGAGTATCCGGCTGAGGCCTCTAGAAAGGTCAACTCGCATTACGAAGATTGGCTGCCCAATACATCATTTGTGGGGGAAAGCTGTACAGAAGATCTCATTGTGGTGTCAATGATGTTGAGGTCACCAGAATAATGGAAGAGATTCATGAGGGAGTCTGTGGTCCTCATATGAATTGTATCATGCTTGCCAGGAAGATCCTACGACAGGGGTACTCTGGTCCACAATGGAATCACAGTGCATGGATTACGTACGCCGCTGTCATAAGTGTTAGATTCATGCCAATCTTATGCATGTCCCTCCTTCCAATTTGTTTGGCATGACTTCACCTTGGCCTTTCGCTGTGTGGGGCATTGACGTCATTAGCATGATCAGGCCATCTGCTTCGAATCGTCATCGCTTCATTCTCGTGGCAATAGACTACTTTACAAAATGGGTGGAGGCTGAGTCTTACAAAACTCTAACTGTAGTTTAGGTGGCTCAGTTTATCAGAAAGAACATTATCTATCGATACGGCGTTTCGTAGGCATTCGTGTCAGATAATGGGTCTTATTTCAAAGGCAGGGTTTAGGAACTCTTCGAGGAGTTCAAAATTCAGATACATCATTCAACAGTCTATCGCCCTAAAACCAATGGGGCTGTTGAAGCAGCTAACAAGAACGTTGGGACAATCATCAAGAAGTCTGCAGAGTTTGATAGGGACTGCCACGAGCAACTACCCCTAGCTCTTTGGGGATATCGAACATCAATTCGAACATCAACAGGGGCGACTCCCTACTCCCTAGTTTATGGGATGGAAGCAGTACTCTTTATCGAGCTCGAGGTACCGTCATTGAGGGTCATGGCCGAATGTGGACTCACGGAATCCGAGTGGCTCAGTGGGAGAGTTGTTGAACTCATGCTCTTTGATGAGAGGATGCTCCGTGCCTTGTATCATGTCCAAAGGTATCAGCGAAGGATTGCTCGGGCTTTTAACAAGAAGGTGAAGTCTCAAGATTTGGTCGAGGGGAATATGGTTACGAAGGAAATCCAGGCTCCTATCTTTGATCCTCGAGATAAGTTCCGTCCAAAGCGTTCAGGACCTTACATCATCAAGACCATCCTCTCGGGGGGAGCGGCTCAACTCATTGATCTGGACGGCAATGAATTCAACGCTCTGGTCAACCTAGATCAACTCAAACGTTACTATCCCTGAGAGAAGCTTGTTGGGCCGAAAACCACAAGGGTGGGCGGTTCAAAGCAAAAATTAGAGCAAGCCTGCTAGACCAAAAACCTAAGGAGGCAGTTTAGGCAAAAATCAAAAAGCTCGCTAGGCCGAAAACTCGAAGTGGCAGTGTAGACACCCCAATTTGGCCTAACAATTATTTCAGGTCCCACCTTGGGGACCATCCCGATGATGAAATGGATACAGTGATTGCTGATTGACTTCTTGAGAACCTTAGGACTTACGGTAAGAACTTTGAGCCATATAAAGGACCCAATCCAGAGCCATATAGCCTTTCAGACAGAAATACAGCATCCTAGGAAAATACATCTATCAGCCGTAAGATTGACTCCTCGGCCGCCAGATCGATTCCTTGGCTGCCAGATCTATTCCACGGCCACCAGATCCATTCCTCGGCCACAGATCCATTCCTTGGCCGCCAGATCCATTCCTCAGCCTCCAAATCCATTCCTCGGCCGCCAGATCGTCTATTTTCCATATTCTGGAACGTTCTGTCAATCGTTTGATCCGTTCATAAAACCCTAGCAGCCAAATCCCAATGCGTTCGGGCTACGTTAGAGGATTACCATGAGGAGTTCGTGTTGCCTTATAACTCCAATTCAATCATTCGATTTTGATTGGTTGAGGTGTGTCATCCCTATGCCTATATAAAGGAGACCTTAGGTTCCGAAATTAATAAGTTCACACACTCTCATCAGCCACAAAATTCTGCCAATATACACTCTCAAATCCCCTCTACAAAAGCCCTAACCTCCTGAAGGCAACCGATAATCTGACGATCAAACCCCAAAGTTCAAACCCTAACCCTAGGGTTTTTCAAGAAGCAATCAGTCAATCCTATTCAATCCGAAGCAATCGAGTCACTGAGGGATCAAGGTGGTGAGGCCCAGGGGCCTTCGGTTCGTTTTACTTTCAGTATATGCATGCTAATAATAGGATTTTGATTATCTGTTAATCGTATTGTCTGGTGTGAGGAAGAACATCGGCTGGGGAATCAATCCTTCAGCCGGTACATTAATCCAGGAGGATTCCTCGGCCGTGAAATCCATTCACCGGCTGCGGAATCCATTTCCCTGGAACAGATCTTTTTTATTCTACTTTTCTGATGCATGCTTTCAATTACCGTACTGGCTCACCTTATTCACTGTTAAAGGCTAATAATCAGATTACGTGTCTAGAGTTAAATAAAGCAAGTATATGTCTTATGTCGAACGATTATGGCCAGTTTCACGACTGGGCAAAGAGGGGTGCCTAACACCTTCCCCTTATTGTACTTTTGGCTCCCGTACCCGGAATCTCTATCTGTTTTCCTAGTTTTAATAAACTAGGTGGCGACTCTGTTTTGATGATAACCGCTATCGTGTGGCGATGTTTCTAGCCATGGGAATATCCACGATTTTGGTTTATGAAGCAAGCAACCAAACAAACAAGCAATGATAAATCAATATGGCAATGCCCCGTTTGGGAGGTGACTACAGTTTTTGGCGGCTCTACTGGGGACTTGAGAGCCATAACCAGAAAGTTCAACATAAGACTAATACATGCTTTATTCAATTCATAATCATATGCATCGAGTGGGAAACCCCGTTGAGTTCACCTGATATCCCCGCATGTCACGGGCTATGTTAGGGGTTCCAGCAAACTCCACAGTCACTTGTACCTAGTGGTATATCAAAAAGGGAATCATTCGATCACCGCCTATAGTGGGCTGGCGAAAGGACTAGTGCCCTTTGACAACGGAGCACCCTTGAGACTACCCAAACCTTACATGTGTTAGAGAGCCATAGAACTTATCAAAATAAGATAGGATCCTGCCGGTTAGGAATCTACTTGCATCTTTTTTAGAAGTTCTTCCTCACACCCTGTGTATGTTGTTGTGATATCGCTTTCTGTGCAGAAGGGTTGGGGCATGAACTAAGAGCCCTAACTCTAAGTCTTTATAGCTAAGCACTGAGGCATGGCATTGCCTACAATGTATGTTTTTGGTAAGATGAAAGCATCATTGCTTACTTAACACTCCCGCTTTACTTAAAGCATCGCAAAGCATGGATTTCTAGAACAAAATCAAACATCAAAAAAAAAAAAAAGAAGCCGCCCCATCGGCAATTGAACTAGGGGTTGCTCTAGCAATCTTTGCCTTGTGAGGCTAAAGGAAATAGGGAGTGAAAGGTAGTAGGGCAGGTTATGGATGATTGTATGCAAAGTCTAGGATATTATGAATAGAACTTGTAATACTTATTTTCTCCATGGATGATTCAGCATGACAAGTGTAGGACTTTGATTCCTATTTCCAAATCGGCCGAGCAACCCATCTTTCAAAAATTCAAAATTTTGAGCATGCTTACCGCAACAAGACGGTAAGATTTACGAGTTTATCAATATGCTGGCAGGTAATCATGTGGATCCCAATTACCTCAATCATGTTTTGAGAAAGAGAAAAGTGAAAACCTTGTTGAACGAATTTCTGACCAAGAATTGAAAGAGATTTTCGAAATATTTCTTAAGTGAAAATGGCTAATTATGATCAAATCCTCAAACAACAAGTTTTCTTAAAACCAAAAAGTGGAACATCCAAATAGCCGCTAGCACTGCAATGGACTCCGAGTCTGCTCTCTGTTGTGGTCATCTGCTCAGCTTTTTCAGTCTGTCTCATAACTTGGAAGTAGGATCTTAAATGACATGTCGTATTTGTAAACAACGAATCTTAAGAATCATCCATATCAAAAATTGCCGGCTATCTATGGTATCCAATAAACTCATGCATACAAAACGAATTGCTATACATGACTCGTCCATAATATGTGAAAGTAGCTATGGTGCTTTGTATATCATCTTGTTTGCCTTTCTCTAACCATGCAGGGGGCTAAACCCAAAGAGGAGTCCATCACCCTCATTTCTTCTTATAGCACATTGCATGATCACGTGTAAACATCAATTATCATTTGGTTAAGCTCCCCATCATGCTAGATTTGCATTTTAAGAGCAATGAGTGTGTGCATTGCATAGACACTTAATTTTGGACATCTCAACCTGAGCGTAACTAAGTTCTTGCTTTTCCAAAATTTTGGGTTTGGTCTTAGACGAGACAGTGATGGCTGACAAGAAGATTGAAGTTCTGGATACTAAAGTTAATATATTGGCTAAATCAGTGGCCGCCCTAGCCACCATTGTTCACAGTTTGCAAGGAAGTCCTCCACAAGCTCCACCTCCACCTCCCCCTACTAGATGGATGAAAAGGGCAGCTCAAAGAGAAACTTGCCCCACTAAGGACAACCAAATTGAAATGGTGATGGATGATCTGCAGCAACAACATGAGAAGCAACTTCTTCTCGATACCGTCGGTCTAAACCAGGAATCTCTCAATAAGAAAAACAGCTGTAAGATGAACATAAGCAATAGTGATGATAAGCTGGTGGGATCTCATCTTGACCGTAGGCAAAAGAGAAACTTCGTTCCTCTTGGAGTGAACTTGG